GGCTCGTGCGGCCGCCACTCCCACCGCGCACCCTACCAGAGACGACAGCTTCTCAGGAGCGCCCGCCCATTCCCCTGGGGAGGGAAGCTTGAAAACGCCCGCTCCGTCGCTCATTGGAGCAATCGCTCGCCCGTCAGGGAGTGCTGCACGGCCATTGGCTGAGAGAGGGAGGGCCACGCAGGGGCGGGCAAGCCCCGCAGTTAAAGGGACAGGTAGGCGCGGCCCCGGCTTTGTCTGTGCCGGGCGGGTCCTGCAGCGGGCGGGGCCCGGTGGCTCCCCCGCTCCTCACTGCCCCTGCGGCCGCCGTGGTCACCGTGTGAAACCACTGCGGGAGATGCTCCGCTCGGGCCCGGGCCGTTCGCTCCGTATTTCCCAGTTTAGGCGATCCCCGATGAGCCAAAATCCAGCCCGGGCGGCCCCGTCCCCGCTCGGTTCATTCCAGGCAGCGCCGAAGACATCGCACTCAGCCATCAGGAGACGCGATGCTGAGCAGTGGCCGCAGCAGGGAGGGGAAAGGGCCGGGTCGCGGTATACGAAGGCAGAAATGAACCGTCACGTCTGGGCTGAACTTGAGCGCGGTGCAGCGCCCTGAACCGGTTCCCTTGCCCCGGCTCCTAGGACGCCCTGTGCTCGGATACCAGTAGAACCACCTCCATGTCCCCAGGGTCCTCCAAGCACACACCGTCTCCTTAGGCAACCTGTGTGTTTTACAGTAATTTTTCAGAGCAGAACTGTGCTTCGCAAGATCTCCCCTCTGTCTCCATATTTACTGCACAGCTGCCTAATTAGCAGCTTGTAAATACGAGTACTGCTCTGCTGAGTCTTTCAGTGCGTGGCAATGCACGTGTAGATGCTGACCTGGCTGGCTAGGGCACGAGGGTGCTTCAGTGCCCGGGCTGCCTGCTGACTGCTCCCCAGGGGCCCCCGCCAATCGGGGCTGCTCAGACTGAGCTCCAGGTGCACGTTCAAACAGCAAACTCAGGATCAATAAAACACAGCATAATGAGCACCGGAGTTTGCTTTGCGTTTATGTGTAGATGCACCTTCTGGAAGTCAGGTAGAGCAAATAGATACAAAGTTTGGGTGCAATCCCACTGTAAGCTGCTGTTATTTTCAAATGATGTTTCAAGAGGGAAAATACTCAGCGCTGCCTCTAATTCAGTATTCATCTGGGCTTTATTGAGCTTTTCCAAGAACTAATGAGATCACATCTAATTGTTTTAAAATGCAATGGACTATATAGCTTATAATTTCTAATAAAGGGATGCAGCATATGGAAGTTATAAGGCCAAGTACATACATAGTCTAGCTATTCGTTGTACTTGAAAGAGACACATCTTTGTTAAGTTGCAACTCCCTCCAGCATTTAGGAAATTGATAGCGATAGGTTACACTGTAAGACTGAAGGCTTCAGAGAAGCCAGCTGGGCAACTGCCATTTGTATACTATGAGTGTTTCCAGAGGAATGTGTGTCTAGGCTCTGGTTCGGTGATATAACTAATATCAGGGAGCCAATGCTTGCGCTGCACTTTTAATCAAAGATTTTAGTGGTTGGCATTTATGTTACAATAGTTAAACCTTTAACAATTTTTTAAATGATAGTGGGTGTGTCTACGCATTGCCCTATGGCGATGCAGTGATACGTTACCTTGCCAGAGCAGCACACTCCCTGGGTACAGTGTACCACTACGGTGATGTAGCGGCAAAATCTACCCATGTGCGCGGTGCAGTAACCACCTATTTCTTTCCTCACAAAATACCTACAATCTATCCCTGGCAGTGAACCCAAAAGGAAGTACTAAAGCACAGCGCCATAGCAATGTCACCATATGGCAACCTGTACATACACCCTGTATAACTAAAATATGCCAAGTTAATTCATAAACAGTCCTGTTGCTACCTTTATTTTAGGGAAATGGAGGGAAAATGAACTGCACTCCTGACACAGTGTCTTCTGTAATTCTTACCTTGCCTTACCAATCCATCTTGGTCTCGACTTGCAGCATCCTCATGTGTTTTGTTTCCAGTTAATTCACTATCAGGGATAGATTTTAGGTATTTTATGAGGGAAGAAATAATAAAATTTGGTCCTAACCTTTGATAAAAGGAATCAGATTACTGTCATGTTGAAGCAATGCCAGGGGCAACCAGCATGGGTTCATTAGGGGCAGGTCCTATCAGACCAACCTGATTGTCTTCTACAATCGGGTCACAAAATCATTGGACGCAGGTGTCGCGGTAGATGTAGTCTTTCTGGACTTCAGGAAGGCCTTTGGACACGGTCTCCCACCCCATTCTCATTAAAAAGCTAAGTGACTGTGGCATTGATGCCTACAGTCAGATGGGTCGCAAATTGGCTGATGGACCGCACCCAGAGAGTGGTGGTGGACAGGTCACATTTAACCTGGAGGGACATGGGCAGTGGGGTCCCCCGGGGCTCGGTCCTTGGGCCTGCACTGTTTAATCTCTTTATTAGAGACTTAGATGAGAGAGTGAATAGCACCCTGCTCAGATTTCCTGATGACACCAAGCTCCGGGGTGAGGTGGGCACACTAGAAGGGAGGGACAGGATACAGCTGGACCTGGACAGGTTACAGGGTTGGGCAAATGAGAATAGGATGGGATTCAATACTGACAAGTGCAGGGTGCTGCACTTGGGCAGTAAGAACCAGCAGCATACCTATAGGTTGGGGAAACTCCCCTCTCGAAAGCACAGTGGCAGGAAGAGATCTTGGAGTCATTATCAATTGCAAGATGAACATGGGCCGCCAATGCGAGGACGCTGTCAGTAGGGCTAACCGCACCTTGTCATGCATCCACAGATGCATCACAAGCAGGGCCAAGGAGGTGATCCTCCCCCTCTATGCAACACTGGTCAGGCCACAGTTAGAGTACTGCGTCCAATTCTGGGCACCACACTTTAGGAGAGATGTGGCCAGCATTGAGAGGGTCCAGAGGAGGGCCACTCGCATGATCCGGGGACAGCAGGGTAGACCCTATGAGGAGAGGCTATGGGACCTGAACCTATTCAGCCTTCACAAGAGAAGGCTGAGAGGGGACCTGGTGGCCATCTACAAACTTACCAGGGGGGACCAGCAAGGAATGGGAGAGACCCTGTTCACCCGTGTACCTCCCGGAGTAACAAGAAGTAACCGCCATAAGTTGTTTGAAAGTTCAGGCTGGACATTAAAAGACACTATTTCACAGTCAGGGCGGCTAGGATCTGGAACCAACTTTCAAGGGAAGTGGTGCTGGCTCCTACCTTGGGAGTCTTTAAGAGGAGGCTTGACAATTACCTAGATGGGGTCATATGAGCCCAGTATTCTCTCCTGCCCAGGGCAGGGGGTCAGATTTGATGATCTACATAGGTCCCTTCTGACCCTACATCTATGAATCTATGAAAGCCCAAGTAACAACAAAGATGGAAGAGGAGAGGATGAACTCAGGTTTAATCATACTCAGCTTGAGCTGATGAGCTGTCAGGATGAAAAAAAGTTTGACATGATAGACTTTGGATAGACCAGTTAGAAGTCCACACTTAAGGCTGCTTTACTCATTCCATCATAATCCTCAATTTAAATTCCTTCCCACATTAAAAAAATGCTTTATTAGTTATGGATGAATAATCTATTTTGAATAAGGCTGAATTGCCCTAAATCTTAGGCTTGTTTATTACTTGGATAGACTTCTAGCAGCGTAGCTAGCATTCTTCTGTGGAGATCACTGAGGGAACACACAATATACCATAAAATATGGTTTGAATGTGTTGTCTCTGCATATTCATATTCATTGTGAGGTACTCCACTAGGGGAAAAGCTATGCCCACAGGGACCTGCATTAGCTTCTTCTTAGAGCGTTCACTATTAACATATTACAGAAATCTAAACAGTCCAATCTCTCTCAGCTTCTCCAAGTAAACTTAAAAATCTGAAGAGAAGAACCAAAAGAAGAGACTAAAAATGTGGTTATGTGAAAGCACAAAGGTACCACTATAGAAGAACCATGGTTCATACAGCAACTTTTCTTCTTTAAAGGTGGTGTGTATTAAGTTACTCTATGGAAGCCTTACAAATAGCATAACCCTCAGAAAGGTAGCAGCTCTGCAGATTTCTGACATGGACACAAGCCATTAATTCCACTTTAGCTCTTGCACAATGGATTAAAATCCACAGTGCTGCCTGCCTGCCTGGAGTGACTAATGCATGTTTTTAGTGTACAGCCTAGCTCATTTTGGTGCTGAATGGAAATATCTGTCTCTACACCAATTCCTCAAAAATAGAGAAAGCCAGGAATCAGATGACCAAATTCAGTGCAAATCAGATCCCCTTTTCAAATATTCTAGCTGTGCATAAATGAGACTAAGGAAGCCTGAGTTTAAAAAACACCACTTCTAAATTTGAACTTCACATTGGAAAGTCTTCAGACAGAATATAAGTGAAAGTGAGTGAAAAATCCTAAGTGAAAAGAAAGGGAAGTGGAACAGCAAAAGTGCTTTAAAACATAGTTCTTGTGAACAACAGGCTTAGAAGGGGCATTTTGTTAAAACAAAACAAAAAAACCCTCCATGCAAACACACTTTAGAGTCATATCCACATCTTCCCCCTTTCATCTCAAAAGCATAAAATAGCCTAGTCAGAATTGCTTCACAGGCAGATTTTAATTAACAGATAAATCTATTATAAGAGTCGTTTAAAAACTCAAAAGCTATGAAATATTCCTTCTTCTGGAAAGTGACAGATCTTGCAGAAAATCAACTGTCACAAAAATCCTTGCTTCAGAAAGAAAAGGTACTTCAAACTATATCCATGTGAAATATCACACACAATTTAAGTACGATACTGGTAGAATTTCCAGTGGGAGTTTATATTACTGGAGTGGCTTTAATATGAGGATGGGGACAGGGAAGGAGTTCCTTACTCCCAACTTCCAAGCACTGCACTTCAGTTCAGATTTACCCTTTTATTATCTTTTCAAGTCTTTCAATATCCATCAGGCACCAACACGTTTGGCATACATACTCTTTCATGGGAACAATTAAAAAAAACCCCCATAGATGGTAGAATGTGCTTGTTGTAGAAAAAAGGAAACACTAAAAATAAATTATCAAAGATTACCTTTATTTCCTCATCCTGTTGCTTCCCTTCCATCCCCAAATCCAGATATTTCAACATTTTCACTTGGACAGAATGATAGTAAACAATCCCTCAATCAAATGGAGATTAAATGCTGATGTGTTATTAAGAACAAGTGGAGGAGAAAGATTAACAGGGGCAAAAGAAGTCTTTTATATGGTTTCCTGAACTTTATCCTTTCCTTTTCTGTGTCCTTGTGACAAGGTATTCAGCAGCATTCACAGATTTGTTGGAAACTGACATGGGTGTGCCACGAACACTTTTGCTATGGCCTCAAACTTGCGACCTCTGGGCTGTCAACCATGTACCTTCCTAGCACCCACACCATCCTAGCCCTCCTTGAGCTTAGGCAATGTGGACCCAATTTTAGGGGCTGGTCTGAATTTCAATAAGGTATTCAATTAAATATATTTAAATCAGGTGGAACCCCTGCATGCACATCCCTATTCAGAATAAAAATAGCTTTGACTTAGCTTTGTTCATATTCATTGAGCTAAACCAAGTTAAAGGCCATTAATTCTGAATGAGAGCATCCAGACAGGAGTTATGAAAGATGCACTCTAAGGCTGTCCAGATGAGTGTGGATGTTTGGTTCCCTGGGGACAAGGAACAGCAGCACACCTTGGCACATGGCAGATAGCCCTGGGTGGGGTAGGGGAGGCTGGGGCCAGCAACCGTGCTGGCTATAACAGCGGCAGTGCTCCTTCAGCCTGGGTGCCAGCCTGGCTCCGGCAGGCTACACTCTGGTTTTGGGCAGCGTGCACTGCAGGCCACATGCGCCACCCCTTTTTTCCACGTGGGTTTTTTTGACCCTGGGATTTCTGACGGGTCTGCAGTGCCACATACTGCATGGCCATGCTTGTCTTGATGCAGCCTCAATGTACGTCTTTTAAATTTGTACCAACTTTCTTAAAGGTAAGGCTGTATGAACAAGTTACCACAAGATAAGACTGTGTGAACTCACTACCCACTCTAACATACTCACTGGGCACACCCACTTTCATAAAGAGATAACCTACCTTGGTGCTTTTAACAGAGAGGAAGACCACATTCCTTTACATACAAGCCCTTAGGACTTAGATAACTGACCCTACTATTCATGACTCCTCTCATTCATGATTGCTTAACATTTCATCCTGACTATAATAATTATTTAAGGGGAAACAGTATAACAAGGAAGCACTCAGATGTCTTTAGTGTGATATAGTAAGTGGAAAAAGGAAAGCTGTCTCCAGTAGTCCATGCAATTCAAATGGGAGGCTGCTCAAGCTAGAGAGGAATTACAAGGCATCAAATAATTAATATGGTTCTCCTACCATACTGATCTTTTAGTGAAAGGGATGGAAATCCTGGCCTTGCTGAAATAAATATTTTGATACTTCAGAAAAATCTTCATCCAATGGACTCCAATGGGAACAGATCGTATTAAGTAAATATTGGCTAAAACGGAAAACCTGTCAAGTGACTGTCAAGCCAGGAACTGTGCAGGAAACAGAGTGAACATGAATTAGACCAAGGATTAGTATGTATTTATGCACAAGAATAAAAACAGCTTTACAAGTTGAATTGGAAATTGAAACAGAAGAAGTTTAACAGCTTTGTATATTATATTAAATAACCAAAACACCTTTTTCCAAAATTGGTAAAGAATAAATAATATAATTTACAATATGGTACAAAAAATAATCAGTAAGGACAGGCATTCTGCTTTATACATACACTATATATGTATATTTATAATCTATAAAACAAATTCACATCTCAAACAAGCCAAAAACCTTAGATGATATGGCTTAACTATTATTAAAAGAAACAGCAATAAAACCTTGCTGCCAAAACCATAAGCTCTAAAGCCAGTTATCATGTTTCAGTAATTTATGATAACTTATTGCCGTAGTGCTTACCAAGGTTTCACTTATTTGACATTTACAAATTGCCGTGAAATTAAGAGAGATTCAAAGGTTTGAAAAGGTTAAAAAAGTGCAGTCTTTTCCTTATAAATGTATCTGACGTTTGGAGCATAAAAATGGTAAAGTTTTTACCATTAATGGTAATTTCCACTGCAGGATCTGCAGTCAGTAGATGAGACATCTTTCTAGATTAGGTTTGATCCAAGCTATTTAAATTCAATTTAGGAATATAAAGAAGGGTGCCAAGAAAAGGTTACACAATGCCATTTTAAAACAATTAAAATTCCTATGTTTAGTACATTTACTGATGAAGAACTGAACAAACTGGCTAATCAGGATGTGTTACCCTGACAGCCAGCGCACACAGTCAGATGTATTCTTTAGGATGCAATACCACTTTACACCCAGATCATGACGACAAACAGCATGTTTCCATTATTTTGCCTTAGGGAGTACAAGGAAACTTGTTCCATGTACACTCACCAGGCTTGCTGGTCACCCACCTGAAGTTAAAAACAAACAAACAAACAAACAAAAACTTACTCAAAAACTTAAGTCGGAGCACAAGCTTTATAGGAACTAATTTCAGAAAGAGAGGCTAGACTATTAATGTCCATTCCTTTCCTCCAGCTTCTTTACTGCAACTGAGACAGATATGAAGATAATGGAGTGATTGTTACCTTCAAAACAATCCTGCCTGCAGTACACTAGCAATTTGCTGGAATGTCTGTTCAGAAGAGGCTGAAAAGTTTACAGAAGTTACTGTTGTTACTTAAGTTGGAGGAACTGAAATTAGTTAAATGTTAAAATTTTCCACTTTAAACAAGTTATTAATTTTCCCCTTAGCAGCCTGAGGCACAAACTGATAAGGACTAGGATGCAAGGGGACATCAGGTGGAAATCCACCAATTAGTAGGGCCAGGTGTGTATAAAAGACTTTGCATATAATAAGGATAATAATTTCTTTACTGATCTAAATTTATTCTTATGATTTAAATTGGTTTCAATTTGTTTTTTGATGACAAGTAGATTTTTTTTTGTCTTGACAGGGCTTTGCTATTTAAATGCAACCTGTAGATCATATCAACATTTCTGAACCACAGGCCAAAAATAGCAGGTGGGGTTAATCTCTAGGGGCTGCAAATCTCAGGAATGGAAGATGCAGACCATGGACAACTCGGGCAAGAAAAGAATGCCAAAACCCATACTTATAATGGAAATTCTTAAAAATGTGTTAGCAGCAGCTTTTCTATTATATAATTTTCGGAGCTAAACAAGTGGTTCCATATAATATTAATTTTTGTCTCATTACCTGGTGCACTTCAGTTCTTCTTGGGGAGGATCCAGGGCATTAAACTATGCTAGGCTCATGGACACCCACCTTTAAAAAATAACCATTACACCAGCACTCATCCCACATTATTCTTTTTCTCCCATGGTAAAGTGAACAGACTGCCTAGAGGCAGTTTGACAGCTCCATGTATTCAAATGGCAGGATCCCTTTAACAGAACTTGGTGACATACCCTACTTCCTTTCACTGCAGCAGCGAATCTAGACACACTAAGATGGAAAGAAGTCTCACAAGACCAGTGTGACAACTATTCTATCACCAGTTCAGATATTTCTGGAGGAAAGGGGGGCAAGGTAACCAAAACACAAGACTGCACAAGGCGGTCTTCAAAATTTATGAGATGAAAACTAAAAGGTTCAGATTTAATGTACCCAATTAGATCTCACATCTCTTTCTGATGTCACTGTGCTTAGATAATCCCTGGCTAGATCTATAGTAGGAGGTTTCTGTTTTTGTCACACGTGAGTTGAGAGGTTTTCTAGGAGGCATGCTATTGTAAAATACAAACAGCACTTCTAATATGGAAAGCCAAAAAGAAGAGCAGGTGATTTGGGAAAGACTGGACTGAAAGGTATCTGAAGTTTATAACCACCAGCAGCAAACTTTAGGCAGAGGAACTCAGTTTCTACCAAGTTTGAACCCTCAAATGCACACACTTAAATGCTCATTTGGCTGGCAGCTTTAAACATGCTTGTGTTCTAGGACAACATGAGAGCATTACATGATTCCTGTTAAGTGTGACAATACTAAAACTGTATTTGGGAAAAGGGGGAGACAGAGACAGAGAAAACAATGCCAGAAGGAAAACAATACCTCAGGTACCCCTCTAGTCAGAGCAAGGAGTTATCCTGTTTTTATGAAATCCTCCCCCCTTTTAGTGTGATGACCCACTGCCTACTAGTAATGCAGGTTTGAGTCCCTGCTGGGAATGCCCAACTCTACTGATGCTGTGCTTGAAAAGGTAAGACTTTCCCACATCAAAGAGCAGAATGAAGCAACCAGACACAAGGCATCCTACAGCATGAATCACAAGTCTTTCGCAGCACGAGCAAGGTCATTAAAACTGCTCCAAGTTACAGAGTATGAACATCAGAAAACTGGTTACATTTTCTCTTCAAGACAGAGAAGTGCAAGGCAAAATATATACCAATATAAAAAACATCTCCATGGGTGGGACAGTGACTGAGAAAATGGTAAACCTGATAAATGTACTGCGGGCAACATTCCAATAAGAAACTCCCAGTCAAATGCTTTGTAGAAGTAGCTAGAGGCAGGTAAAACTACATCCACAGAGTTTAGTGCAAGCTGGGAAAACAAAGCCCTGATAACAGCCTTAGAGATGGAGGAGTTTATTTTATTCAATAGCAAACAGTTAGTGTATAAAGTTTGAGGTTTATATTAGGACTGGCCCCTGGGAGAGTTTCAGAGCTACTGAATAGACAAAGGGAATCCCTTTGCTAGGGATGCAGACAAGTGCTTAAAAAAACAGGGCATAGTAAAAAATATCCTCTCTCAAGACCGATGGGAAAGGAAATGGGAGGAGAAAGTATCCTGAGTTGTAAGGCAGAAGCAAATGAAAACTCATCTGTAGAGAAAGCAACTTTGCTAAACCTCCTTTAAACCTCCTGATATCAAGACTTGGGTATTTTAGGCATTAAAACTACCATAGAAATGCATAAGTACTTAGCATAGGGAGTTCTGGACCCATCAATGCTCAGGAGTGACTATAGTGAAAAATGATGCCCTGAGATAATGCAGAGCACAAAGAATTAGCTGGGCAAAGAGGTTAAGATAGAAGGATAAAATTAAACAGGGACTTGACACCTCTTTTCTTCATCTGCAAGATATGACATTACAATTTAGTTTAACTTATTATTTGTACTTGTAAGTTACACTATTCTTTCCTATTTCCTCTCCCAGGAAAATTCTCAGCAACATGCTGGCATTTATGTGGAGAGAGGTGGAAATACATATAGGTTTCCAACAAAAAAACTTAAGACCTATTATTCAAGACAGCTTTCATTGCAACTCCATAAAGAGCCCTTTCTGCAGTGTCTCCCATTCTATAGAGTGACTACCCTTCTGAGACAACTTGCAAAGTACTTTCCCATTAGTGAGGTGAACCAATACACCATGTAATGTGATGAAGAATCCAGTATCAGTCTGCAGAAAGAACGATCATGTGGGTCCAGTCAGAAGGATGGTGGCTGTGAAAAATCTGTTTAAAAACTGAGAAAAATCCTGTGATCCATGCAATGTTGGGGGGCATGGAGGCTCCCCTACAAAACAAACACAGGCATCTGCCCTGCTGGAATGTTCAGTAAACAAGATGTAGCCAAAGAAACAGAGTGTGTTACAAAATGCTAGCAAAAGCATCACGGTCATGGTGCCTTTCAGGAGAGTGCAAGAATCTTCAGTCTGACTGATCATCAAGAGTGCGGGGTGGGATATTTCAAGATGCAAATAGCAAAGGCGCTTCCCCTTTTCCCTCCCCCTGCCCGCCCTGGAATCCCAAACCATTGTGTTTTGATCACTATGCAAGTAAAATCAATGTAGGTAACTTCTAGCAATCCCTTTGTTTGAGCTTCTTGCCTAGGTCATTCTGAAGTACAAATCCAGGACAGTCCTATAAATTCACTACTCCGTTTTATATCATTGATGTGGACATATCTCTCCCCATAATACTGTTCTGCATTTCGCTGTTTCCATGTATTGCACATTCCAAAACTTGCAAATACTTCTTCAGACCTTTGAAGACAGCAATGCTCTTTTACAAAGGTGTACATTGGTCAAGGACGACTGGGCATTAAGCTGCATATCCAAGACTGCCCTGCCCCAATCCAGTACAGCAAGTTTCGTTTAGCTGAACAGTCTTCACCAGCCTGCTGGTATCGTATGGTCACTGAGAGAGATCACCAATGGGGGGACCTCCTCCACCTCCATCAAACAAAATCTCCCTCCGGGATGGCTCAGGTATCGATAGCTCCTGGGCAAGGTCATTGAAACGAGATATGTAATCTATGCTGTTCTCGTTCATCATGCATGCCAGCTGGGAATCCACAACCTAGAGAGGGGGAAAAGAAACCCCAAAAGCTACTGGTCAGTAGAGGTGAAGAACAGCCCTTGCCCATGACAGGATCTGGATCAGGGCCAGATAATACTGGAATAACATTTCACCTCCAGGTCATGTTTTCTGATATAGCCCATGTTAGCAATTACCTGCTGGGACTTCAGTGGCCTCGTGAAATGAATCTATGCCCTTGTCCAATTTTTAGTTGAAAATAACCACAAAACAAAATAAAAGTCCACCCCTGCAACACTCCTTTATTGGCATGTATGTTGGCAGCCTCAATGCCACAATAGCTAATCCCTCCAAAGTCAGCATCAAGATATCTTGGAAAAGGTGTGGCCATAAGCATGCACAGCTGCTGCCCGTGATGGACCAATTCTGCATGTAAACAAAATTTCATTTTGCAGGATTCTTGATGAGAGGCCTTTCAGAACATTTTCTTTTGCTAATGTTGGTTTTCCCATGTAAACTACACCTTTCCTATATGATAACATTATATTACAGATATTCTACCTTGCCTTATGTAGTGACTTGTGTAACACACTGCCCTCAAAACGGTGAAGACAAGGACTGCAGTGGGTCAGTTACATTCCAGCCGTAACATCAGATGCTGAAAATTGTAGTGTGGGAGATGCACAACAAATACAGTAAAAGCAGCTTCTACCCGTTACTGGGTAAAAATAAAAAGTGCATGTGACTAAGGGGAAGCAGAAACATGAGCAGGATAAGTTCCCGGCTGCTGCTTTTCAGTTACTTATTTACAAGGAAAGATCTTTTTCTTCAGTCTGCTTTTCAACAACAAGTTACATATTTTATTCTGAGGCATGATTTATGTGAGAAAATATGGTATAGGGACATCTGCAATTAGTTTGTCTATTCTCCGTTTCAGATATGCTGCAGCAAAAAAAATGGTTCAGTATGCCTCAGAAAGGGAACTATGCACAGAGGATGCAAAGATTTAAAGTTGCCCTTTCCTTCCCCAACTAAAGAAAAGCCTTAGGCCACAGCTACACTACAGTGGAGGTGCCCTGAAACAGAACCTCAAGACAATTCTGTGCTTCCAGAAAAAAAAATTACCTTGCCTTGGGAAGGAGTTACCCAAGACTGAAAGTGGGTTAGAGCAGATGTAGGGGATTATGTCATGCAGCTGTAGATGTTTATTGCCTCAGCACACCTGGGGTTTTCATAGTATATTCTTCCCATTGGTACACAGCTTTATTTCTGGCAATTAAGGAGGCACAAAGTCAGCTGAACCCTGCTGTACTTTCTAGTGGCATGACTCTTACAGAGCTACCTGGCAGAAATATTAAAGTTTCCTTCCTGTTGTGGATACACTGGCAAGGCTACCAGGAAGTGCAGCACCCACTTCACTGTCAGCAAAGCTGAATCTGCTTCTTAATTTCTGGTTTTCACTTACTCTCAAAATAATTTTGAAAATAAAAGATAGAATTACCTAGGGCTGAAGATTGTTTAGTAGTATATGTCCTCCTGGTATTTCCTCAGACAATTTAACCACAGTTACTTCCTATTTGTTTGATTTGGGCCTAAGAATTTTTTTCCCCATTTCATCTCTCCCCCTCAGCTGTTAATCGGATCTAAAGACGTGGCATTTGCCTAAAGTGTCTTAGGAGAGTATAATGAACAACATGCCCAATACTGTGTTACCAAACTAATTCTATATTTATTATTTCACATGCAAATATGACCTAATGAACACAAACACGTACCTCTGCTACATCTGCCAGAGATCGAGATACAAAAGAGTCCCTTGAGTTTCCATCCAGCAGGCTGGGCCCCAATAAGGAGGTGCCACTTGCAGTCCCAACAGGGGTTGGCAACATTTTTCGGCCTTTCTCAGGGGAGATGAAACTTGCTGTAAAAAGTAAGTAAAGTAGTAAGCATACTGCACTAACAGCTGAGGAGAGAAGGAGAGTACAGGGGAATCTAATGCTATGGAAAATTAAAACCATCTCCTCTACTTCCTGCAAGCCACAAATTATGAGCATAAGCACTATTAGTAGGTTACCAAATGCAAGAAGAGGTACATACATAGTCTCTCCCATATACAACTGGCCATCCTTCTGGCTAACTCAGAAAAATACCCCAAATACCTCATCTCTTTAGGATTATGCACTGTGCATACATTGAAACATATGTACTCCACAAAAAAGCTGCTGGCATCATTTTGCTTTAGAAGACCAGTCAAACCATCTCACAACAGAAATAAGTTTGCTTGGCTTTGCAAGTATGACTACAGAAAAGGCCCAAGAAAATACCTGCCCCAAGAATCATAGAAAAATTAGGGTTGGAAGAGACCTCAGGAGGTCATCTAGTTCAAACCCCTGCTCAAAGCAGGACCATCCACAACTAGACCATCCTACCCAAGACTTTGTCTAGTTGGGTTTTAAAAACTTCCAAGGATGGAGATCCCACAGCCTCTCCGAGTAACCTGTTCCAGTTTTCCTACCCTCCTCATGAGAAAGTGTTTCCTAATATCTAACCTAAACTTCCCCGGTTGCAACTTGAGACCACTGCTCCTTATTTTGTCATCTGCCACCAGTGAGAATAGTTTAGCTCCATTCTCTTTGGAACCACCCTTCAGGTCACAGAAGGCTCCTATTAAATCCCTTCTCAGTCTTTTCTTCTCCAAACTAAATGAGCCCAGTTCCCTCAGCCTCTCAAGTCAAAAAACTGGACACAGTACTCCAGATTTGGCCTCACCAGTGCTGAATAGAGGGGAATAATCACTTCCCTTGATCTGCTGGTAACACTCCTACCAACGCAGCCCAGTATGCCATTAGCCTCTTGGCAACAATGGCACACTGCTGGCTCATATTCAGCTTCTTGTCCACTGTAATCCCCGCGTCCTTTTCTGCAGAGCTGCTGCTTAGCCAGTCAGCCCCCAGCCTGTAGCAGTGCATGGGATTGTTCCATCCTAAGTGCAGGACTTTGCACTTGGCCTTATTGAACTGTATGAGATTTCTTTTGGCCCAATCCTCCAATCTGTCTAGGTCTCTCTGAATCCTAATCTTACCCTCCAATGCATTTACTACTCTCCCCAGCTTGGTGTCATCTGCAAACTTGCTGGGGGTGTACTCTACCAGCACAGGAGCAGGACAGGGCACATTGAGCTACCTGCCTCCCTCCCAGGCCTGCCACACCGCCCAGCTTTAACCCCGCATGTGACTGCTGGTGGCAGAAGCCACTTGCCCAGGCAGACAGACGGAAGTCCAAGCAGGGGGGCTCGTGTCACGACCTGGCAGCCAACCCTTTGCAGCCCAGTACTGGGCTGTGACTTAGTGGTTGGGAACTTCTGCTCTATGCCATCTTCCAGGCCATTGATGAAGATATTGAATAAAACCAATCCTAGGACCAATGCCTGGGGCACTCCATTCAATACCAGCTGCCAATTAGACACCGAGCCATTGATTACTGAGTCTGATTATCCAGCCAGTTTTCTATCCACCTTATAGTCCATTCATCCACCCATACCTCCTCAGCTTGCCTGCAAGAATGCTGTGGGAGACCGTATCAAAAGTCTCGCTAAAGTCAAGTTATACCACCATCCACTAGTCTCCCTGCATTCACAGAGCCAATCATCTCATTATACAAGGTAATCAGGTTGGTCAGGCATGACTTGGCTCTTGGTGAATCCATGCTAACTGTTCCTAATCACCTTCTCCATGTGCTTAGACATGGATTCCTTAAGGATCTGCTCCATGATTTTTACAGGGACTGAGGTGAGGCTGACCAGTCTATAGTTTCCTGGATCCTCCTTCTTCCCTATCTTAAAGATGGGCATTATATTTGCCCTTTTCCAATTGTCTGGGACCTTTCTTGATCGCCATCAGTTTTCAAAGATGATGGCTGGTGGCTCTGCAATCACACAGACCAATTCCCTCAGCACCCTCAGGTGCGTTGCGTCTAGCCCCATGGACTTGGATATGTCCAGCTTTTCTAAAAAATCCCCAACTTTTTATTTTACCACAGTTGGCTGCTCACCTCTTCCCTAAACTGTGCTGTCAGGTGCAGCTGTCTGAGAGCTGACCTTGCCTGTGAAGACTGAGGTGAAAAAGGCATCGAGCACTTCAGCCTTTTATGCATCCTCTGTCACTAGGTTGCCTCCCCCATTCAATAAGGGACCCACATTTTCCCTGATCCTACTCTTGTTACTGACATACTTATAACAAGCCTTCTTTTTACCCTTCATGTCCCTTGCTAGCTACAATTCCAATTGCGTTTTGGCCTTCCTGACTTCATCCCTACATGTAGGGATACAGACTGCTGCCACAGTCCAGCCAAGCAACTCCTATTTCAGGAGCAGATTTGTGAGCCTGAGTTGAATGAACAAAATACATTTAAGAGTAACACAGTTAGAGAGGAAGGTAACATTTTACTAGTGCCCTGCTGAGTCTATTTCCTTCCTGACACTCCCTCCAAGTAAACAGAATGGGGAGGAAAGCTTTGTTAGAAGAGACAAGACCATTTCATCATGACATATCTGTGGACTGGCACTCACAAAACAGGCTGCTGAGAGAAGAGTCTGTGGAATCATTGGGGTACCACTGTGGATCATGGCTGGGGGAGGCAATCCAGTTCTGCTGAGGACTGCTGGATGGCGACGGAAGACTTTTGGAGCTGTCACTGCCATTCAGCTTTGCAGGGGAAAGAG